AACCTAGATGTGCTTTCAAGATTGATATTCGCAAGGCATATGACACAGTTGAATGGAATTTTCTTTTAGAAATGCTGAAGGGAATGGGTTTTCACCCAGTCATGCTCAATTGGATAAAGACTCTGATCACGACACCCTCTTATTCCATTTGTGTAAATGGACAGCCGGAGGGTTTTTTTCAGGGTAAACGGGGCCTTCGACAGGGTGATCCTCTCTCCCCGTATCTGTTTACTGTTCTTATGGAGGGTCTCTCGATGCTTCTTTCTAAGTGTATTGAGGAAGTGGCTAACTTCTCGTATCATCAAGGTTGTGCGGATATTAAATTGACTCATTTGTGTTTTGCTGATGACCTGTTTATCTTTTCTAAAGGGGACATTATGTCGGTGGAGGTTATAAAACGGGGTTTACAGTTGTTTGAAGAATGTTCAGGCTTATCGCCTAGCCTGGATAAGAGTGAGGTATTCTTCGGGAATGTGTCATTGGAGGACCAGAGCCGTATTCGTGACAGTTTATCTTTTCGGCCTGGGGTCTTCCCTATTCGTTACTTAGGTGTTCCTCTTTCCCCGGTTCGTCTGAAGGTACGTGATTTTAATCCCCTTGTGTTAAAGATTAAATCTCGTTTACTAAACTGGAAGAATAAATTTCTCTCTTATGGCGGGCGTCGTCAACTAATCATTTCTGTTCTCCAATCTATGCAAACGTTTTGGATGTCGGTATTCCTTGTACCGGCAGCCACGATTCATGAAATTGAGAAGCTTTTTCGTAATTTTTTATGGAGTAAAGCGGAGGGACAAAGGGGTAAATGTCGTGTGGCTTGGGATTCTATTTGCTTGCCTATACAGAGTGGGGGACTTGGTTTGAAAAGACTTGGGATCTGGAATAGGTGTCTCGTTTTCAAACATATTTGGGATATACTAAGGGAAAGAAATACGATGTGGGTCTCTTGGATTCACTCTCACTGTGTTCGGGGCCGAAACTTTTGGGTTATCAAGAAGAGGAATGAATGGTCTTGGATCATACAGTCTCTTTTAGATTTAAGACCTCATTGCCGACGCTTCTTTATCTCTGATGTGGGTAATGGCTTATCGATGCATGCTTGGGAAGATACATGGAGTGTTTTGGGACCTCTCATTCAGGTTTTGTCTTATAGATTTATCAATGGGCAGGGTTTCCACAATAATTCTACGGTCTATGATGTTATACACAGATTTGGTTCTAACTGGCCGGMTGATTGGCTTCAACGTTATCCTCAGCTGCAAAATGTCCTTATTCCTTCTCTCACTCAAGGAGTGGATAGAATACGTTGGCTTGGTAAAAATGGTGCTCGGGGTGATTTTCAGGTAAAAGTGGCGTGGGAGGCTATACAAGAGGTAAATCAGATTGTGCATTGGTATAAACTAGTTTGGAATAAAGCCTTCATTCCAAAACATGCCCTTTGTATGTGGATGGCTTGCCAGAAGAAACTGCCTACCCAAGATCGTATTAGTCAGTGGAAGTATGAACCCCCGGATTTAAAGTGTGTGTTCTGTAAATTAGTAATTGAAACGCATAATCACTTATTTTTTGAATGCTCGTATTCAAGCAGAATTTGGGATTGCATTAAAAAGGAGGTGGGATTATTGTCTTATCCGAACAATTGGGAGGATATTCTTCATAGAGGGTCCGCTCAATCTTGGAAATCTTGG